ATCAGACAGCATAGAGAGAGAAAAGGCATCCAAATTGGTAAGGGAGAAATTAAACTGCCACTATTTGTAGATGACATGTTATTATACATAGAAAACCCTAAAGACTGCACCCAGAAACTACCAAAACTAATAACTGAATTCAGCAAAGTTGCAGGACACAAAATTAATACATAGAAATCTGTTGAATTCCTATACACTAATGATGAACTGGCAGAAAGAGAAATCAGGAAAACAACTCCATTTATAATTGCATCAAGAAGAATAAAATACCTAGGAATAAACTTAACAAAGGAGGTGAAGCACCTGTACTCTGAAAACTATAAGACACTCAGGAAAATTAAAGAAGACACCAATAAATGGAAATTATCCTGTGCTCATGGATAAGAAGAATTAATATTGTCAAAGTGGCCATCCTACCTAAAGCAATTTATGGATTCAATGCAATCTCTATCAAAATACCAACAGCATTCTTCAACAAACTAGAACAAATAGTTCTAAAATTCATATGGAACCACAAAAGACTCCAAATAGCAAAGCAATCCTGAGAAAGAACAAAGCTTTCTTTTTGTCCAGGGGGATTATGCTCCTGGACTTCAATCTGTACTGCAAAGCTACTGTAATCAAAACAGTGTGGTACTGGCACAAGAACAGACTAGATCAATGAAACAGAATAGAGAGCCCAGATATAAACCCATGCATATTTGGTCAGTTAACATATGATAAAGAAGCCACGAATATACAATGGGGAAAAGAAAGTCTCTTTAATAACTAGTGTTGGCAAAACTGGACAGCTACATGCAAGAGAATGAAACTGAATTATTGTCTAACTCCATACACAAAAGTAAGCTCGAAATGGATCAAAGACCTGAATGTAAGTCATGAAACCATAAAACTCATAGAAGAAAACATAGGCACAAATCTTTTGAATATAAACATGAGCAACTTTTTCCTGAACATATCTCCTTGGGCAACGGAAACAAAATAAAAAATGAACAAGTGGTACTACATCAAACTAAAAAGCTTCTGTGCACAAAGGACATCATCAGCAGAACAGAAAGGCATCCCACAGTATGGGAGAATATTATTAATAAATGACTCATCTGATAAGGAGTTAATATCCAAAATATATAAAGAACACATATGCCTCAACACCAAAAAACAAGCAAACTGATTTGAAAATGGGCAGAGCACCTGAACAGCAGGCACTTCTCCAAAGAAAAATACAGATGGCCAACAGGCATATGAAAAGATGCTCCATATCATTAATCATCAGGGATATGAAAATAAAAACCACAGTGAGGTATCACCTCACACCATTTAGAATGGCCACTATCCAAAAGGCAAGAAATAATGAATGCTGACAAGGGTGTAGAGAAATAGGAACCCTCCTACACTCTGGTGGCACTGAAAATTGGTGCAACTGGTATGGAAAGCAGTATGGAGGTTCCTCAAAAAACTAAAAGTAGAAATACCATTTGACCCAGTAATTCCACTCCTAGTAATTCAGCAAAAGAAAACAAAATCCCTGTTTCAAAAAGACATATGCACTCCTATGTTTATCACTGCACTGGTGCAATAGCCAATGTATGGAAGCAACCTAAATGTCTATCAGTAGATGAATGGATAAGGAAGATGTACATGCATGCAATGGAATATTATTCAGCTATAAAAAGAGAAGAAATACTACCATTTGCAACAACATGGATGAATCTAGAGGGTATCATACTCAGTGAAATAAGCCAAGCAGAGAAAGACAAATACCAGTGATTTCACTCATTTGTGGAGTATAAGAACAAAGCAAAACTGAAGGAACAAAACAGCAACAGACTCACAGACTCCAAGAAGGGACTAGTGGTTACCAAAGGGAGGGGTGTGGGAAGGGTGATTGGGAAGGAAGGGAGAACTGGGTTAAGGGGCATTATAATTAGCACGCATAATATAGGTAGGTCACGAGGAAGGCAGTATGGCACAGAGAAGACAAGTAATGACTCTCTAGCATCTTACTATGCTGATGGACTGTGACTGCAATGGGGTTTGGAGGGAGACGTGATATTATGGGTGAATGCTGAAACCACAGTGTTGTTCCAGTGAAACCTTTATACAATGGTATATCAATGATTCCTTAATTTAAAAAAATGGGAAAAATATGGCCATGAACATGCATTTTGAAATCATGTTGTCTCCAGTATAAAATTCATTTTTAAAAAGGTTATCTTCCTTTTCTCTAGAAGTTAAATGGATCTTCTCTTGTTCCTGGTATTATGAAATTATGTAGGGTATGCCCTGGGCAAGTTGATTTTTATTCTTTAGGGGTCTTTTCAGTCTGGAAATTCCTGTCTTTCATTTGTGGTTAATTTTGTTCTTTCTTTGATCTCTCCATTTCCTTTCTGCAACCTACATTATTCAGATGTTAGACTTCATTTAATCCTCTGTTTCAACAATACCATCTTTTTATTTTCAACTTTTTGTCATTTCGCTATGCTTTTGGGGGAGATAATCCGAATTTTAAGATAGTTGTTCTGCTGTCATATTTTTAAATTTCTAAGAACTTATCTTCTTCCATAATTACTTACTGGATGGAACCATAGGCTTGTGGAGTTGAAGAGTATCAAAAAGATGATCTTTGTTAACTCCACTTTGTCCAGAAGTCTTTTCTATATTGTTCTTGACATTTTTTCCTCATTTTTCATGGTCTTGTGTTTCCTCCTATCCTAATTTCAGTGCAGGCAGGAGAAGGGATAGCTAGGCTGAGGGTACAAACTGCTGGTGCTCCCCCAACAATTGGGAATACCTTAGATTTTTAGATAGGGTGGTTTACATAAGTGACACAGAATCTGTCATTAATTTTTTCCGGGAAGACTATTCACTGGTTCTGCAATACTGGTTACATCAGTACCTGGGAGACATACAGGAAGCCACTTTAGCTGTACATAGTTCTCACTGGGCAGACATTAAGTTGATTTATTTTAATCTGGCATAGTGAAAATTGTACCAGGCATAGTTGGTGTGCAATGATGTGCCTGGTGCTAAGGAAACTTTGGAGTTAAGGCCATGACGCGAAGAAAAGCAGTGGTGCACCTTACATGCAGCCACTGTGGGATTTTGCTTCTGGGCCTGGCAGGTTGGGGTTCTTGGAACTGCCCTGAGCTGCTCTCCCCACTCCCTCCCTTCCCCATCCCTGGTCTCTCCTTGCTGACCTTCTTACAGCCATAAACATCTCTGCTTAGGCTAGACCGGAAGGAGGAAAAACAGTGACACTCCAGTCTGTCTTGTCACGTTTGCCATTCATAATCTACGAGGAGAGGTAGTTTGGAACGGGGAGGAAAAGGCTGAAATTGCTGAGTGAAGCTAGTTGTATGCCTTTGCTCGCCCCATTTAAAGATACGGATAATTGGGAAGTTGACTCTGTATATAGGTACATGTTAGCGAAAAAGCTTCAGAAAGACTGTAATTAGTCTCTCACCCTGTTTCAGTGTAATAATTGGATTCATTCTTCTGGTGTGCCCTGATGTATTGTTAGTTACGGTGTTCATTTCCTGTGGCTGCTGTAACAAATTGCCACAAACTGAGTGTCTTAAAACAACACATGTATTCTCTCACAGTTCTGGAGGCCAAAAGCCCAAAATTGGTTTCATGGAGGATAAACTAAGGTGATGGCAGGGCCGTGCTCTCTGCAGAGGCTCTACCACATTACTCAGTTTACTTTTATTGTACCTAACCTCCTCACCCTTCTGAGGATTAGGATGTGGATATCTTTGAGTGCCATTCTGTCTACCACATCTCCCATTCTCCTCAAAAGGTTGAGCTCAGTTTTAGCTTCACATCTAAAAACTAAAAAAAGCTTAGTTTTTCAAACTTTAAAACTTCAGACCTAAAAAAAGCAAGTAAGTAAAATCTTGAATTGAAAGAGTCCTGAATGTTCTGGATACCTTTTCATATGTTTGAAGACTGCTGCTGAAGTCATAGATTTTGTAGGAAGTAATAAGCATGACCTGGATTTTCTTGACATATCTCCTGGCAGACAGGATGCAGGGAGAGGAAAGGGGAAGCAGTGAAGATGCTGGCCCCCGAGGGAGAAACTAATCTCCCAGAGGCCGTGGGCAAACCTTTAAGGAGAGCAGCTTTAGCATCACTGGTGTAATGTGACTTGATTACTGTATAGTCTTAGGGATATCTTTTCTGTGTTTTTCTTTGCCTTATCCATGACATACTCTTTTATAAATTTGTGAAGTCAAACATTTATAGGAATTTGTGAATTTTCTTATTATTTGTAATGATTTATTTAAATATCAGTTCTTGGAAGGAAAGATTATAGAACTCAAAGCATAAATAAAATCTATATGGTTGAATTTGTTGATTGAGTTCATTACTTAAAGTCAATTTATTACTGAAATATGTCATATGAAATATGTCATATGAACATATTTTCTGAAGTGAAAAGCCTAGTCTTTTTAGTCATCCATCCATTCTGATCAATCAGCAAATACTGAAACTCCACTGTGTGCCCTCGGCTCTGGGGATATGATGGTATCTGACACAGTCAGTCCCTTTCCTCATAGAGCTGACAGTCTCATAGGGCTTTAGGCACAGAGTAAACAAAGTGGGCAGGACTAACTAGGAGTCAAACTACTAAAAACAGTGAAATAATCTGTAAAATTTTCCTTGTTTTTTTCATCTCCTAAGTATATGATTGATTAATTGGCTCATGGTTCTTTTCAAATACTTAAAGATTGCTGGCATAAAATTGAAATACAACTACTATTTATAATATAGGCTAGCGTTTTTTGCTTATTTGAAGTAGTCTAAAATTTAGGTTGCTTTTTGAATCTTTAAATATATATCATTATTTCTTAAGCTTTTCCAAATATTTAATGTAGTGAAATCACAGATGTTGATTTTTGCAAATAATGTTTCCAGTAACTACTTCTTATATGTAACATTCCTTAAAATGTTTCTAATTAAGGAAGGCCTGACACTAATTTTCATGTTTGCTCTTTTAGGAATGTTTTAAAGGAAGTTGGGCAACTCATAAGTTACTACATAAGAAAGCAAGTAAGTAAAATCACATATCTCTTACCATTTGTCTTAGAAGTGGCTTTTTTGCAGAAGACAAGTCTTCAGTTCTGCAAGTGTAATCCTGAAAGCTAGAATTGGGACACTTTTTTTTTTCTTTGTGGTGTGTAATCATGAAAATAAAACATGGTCTGGTGTTCCTTTGTTAATCTTGTGTCACATACGTAACATGAAAGCCTCAGACACTTGCTGAGATACAGGAATCTTGCTTGAGCAACCCCTGAGTGTCCCAATCTTTTGACCTCTTTCCTTGCTGAAAATGTTTGCATATTGTAGGCAGGGGCACATGAGCTCTCTGGCTTATAAAGTTAGCTGATCTTTTGTTTTTGTTTACTTTTAGTTTTGATTACTTTTTCCACTCAAATCATATTATTTCATTTTTTGGTGTTTTAATGTTATTACGTGCAGTCTAATATTTAATTTCTGTTTGGGAGTTACTTTTTGAGACACCACAAAGTGAAATTCGGCTGCTGCTTAGCTAGTGCTGTGAGCCACATGGATCTATCTCTGATTCAGATGGCCTTTTCTGCTCCAGCTACTTAACCTGTAAATTCATGTCATTAGTGTGGCTGGCTTTTTTTTACACAATTACGTGAACATTGATAAGGGCTTCCTGATATTACTAGCACTGCCACTGATGAATGAAGGTTTGGGGGACAGCACATTGTTCTTGGTATGAGGTTTCTGTTTCAGCTTACTGATGTTGGGATGTTTTTTTTTAATTCATTTACTTGTATATTTTTAAGGGATTTGCTGACTTACTAAAGTTTAGTAGAATCTCATTGAGGTCAGTTTAACCACCATTAAGAAAAGGAAATAAAAATTTAAAAAGACATTTTCTGTGGTTGTGTAAGGTGAAGACTATAGTAAAGGAAAAGCTGAGCTACTGGGGGAGAAAATGTGGTTAGAATTGAGGAAAAGTGTGAATAAATAAAAGAGATTATCAAAGCATAAATGACAGGATTTGTTACATCAAAGTATAGTGGTAGGTTTGAATAATTACCATTTAACTTGTCCACTCATACATTAAATACTTTAATTCTAAACTGTTAGGTATTTTTAGAGTTCTTTTGGTCAGTTATTAACATTTTATACCCAAGAAGTTAAAGTTCAGGTAAGTGAAGTTTGAGGCGAAACAGTATGTTAGTAACAGAGCTTAGAAAGGGTCTCTAACCTAAGCATTGCTAACTCATTGAAGTGGCCTTGTTTCTTCAATACTGGATTTCTAAGGGCAGTTAAGGGTCGTTATGGCCTACACTACAAGGAAATTAAACAACTGATATTCCCTAAGTAAAAAGAACAGAATTACTACCACGTGGACAGAGACTATTTGGGTTGTACTTATACCTCTGTAATTTAGTATGGTGTCATCTTTTAGATGGTACCTGCTTGGGTCTTCTGGGATGATTTTTCTTCAATGGTGAGCCTCATGTTTGATCCCTTTGGGCTGTGTTGGATAGAGGCAGCTCTCAGCTGGCCGGTCCTGTATCGTTCATACACTATTAAATTGACTCCAACTATACAATTACTATTTTTGAATGGCAGTCCTGGAGGAGGGAATGGTGTAGGGAAGGGTGATCTCTAGGCCAAGAAGAATATCAGGAAAGGGATTAGGGAAAAAGAATGTTGGACTAGGATGTAACCAGGACATCTTAACGATCTTATTCCACGAAATAATAGTGAGATAATTTATAGCAAGGGGTTCATATCATGAAGATGATGTCCTCAGGCTTTTTCTTTCTTTTAAATGTAATGTGTACTGATACCTAATTAAAGATGCCCGATTTATATTTGTGGTCATGTGGGATATTGGTCTAACTTTTAATATCTTTGGTTTGGCTTTAGAGTAATTCTGGATTCATAAAATGGGAAATGTTTCCTCCTTTTCTGTTTTCTGGAAGAGGTTATGTGTAACTGGCATTGTTTCTTCTGTGAATGGTACGGTTTACCAGTGAAACCACCTGGACTGGAGTCCATGATTGCACAAGTGAATCAGGCCTTAGGAAAATGTCGAGTGTGAGTTAAATAAATGAGTTGAAGACAGACTTTATTGTCTATGTGTCATAGTTAAAGAAAACAGATTTGATTGTAAAGGCCTTAGAGGCACATAGTGCTGATGCCTGGTGGTGTATTTCCCACACTCATCTCCTGCCAGAGTGTATGTAAATAGCATTTGCTTTTAGTCTGATTTGTAGAAGTAGCACTTCATATTTCACTACTGTATTATTCTACACTCTTTTTATGTATCACTGACATATTCAGTGTGTTTCTCTTTCTTCCATTTCCCTAAAGTATGAGGTAAAAGCATTTGATAGGTATGTTTTGAATAACTGAAAATATGTTTAAAAACTCCATTAAAAAAAAAAACCTCTAAATAATACTTTGTATTCTACTCCTCTAACCCTCCAAACTAGTGTGCTTGGTTTTGGGATTGCAGAGAGAAGGTGTTATGCAGTATTTCAGAACTAGTTACACCAAGCAAGCTTTGTGAGCATGGATTACTTTAAGCCTTACCTCCAAAATGTTGAAATCATAGGTTTGTTGTGAAGATTAACTAAAGAAATCCATGTAAAGTGCTTAGCATAAGTGTACAGTGCATAGTAAGTGCTCAGCAAGTGTTTAATAATCATCTCTGGAAGAAGAGTCAGGGTTGTGATCAGAAAATTCTGTCCCAGGCAAAGCTTAGATGTGCAGCTCCTTTGTGTCAGCTGACTGGAGGAGGCAGCCTGCACAGAACCTTTTGAAGAGTAAAGCCCTGGGTGTGTTGTCCTCTGAGCCAGACCTTGCAGGTATCAGGTACTCTTTGATGGTACCTGGAGCTTACCTAGCTCTGTTGCATTGACATGTTTGAGAGGCAATTTACAGGTGTTTGTTTACACTGCTGCCTTCACAGTTTTTGAAAAAGACCAGTTAGTGCAATTTTTTCAATCCAATTCTAATTTATTAGGTGTCTTTATGTGTGTTGAACTTAGGGCCTCGATCAAATTGATCCTAAAATGTAAACTAACTTACTTTTGAAGTATAAATTTCCCAAAGTAAAATTATACCTGGAGGTTAGAAGAGAACTTGCCATATTTCAGTCTTGACTTGTCCAGATTGCTTTTGGATTATATTATTTGTTTGAGGTCTGCTTTCAGTTCTCTTTTGAAAATAATGGAAAGGTTGGAATTCAGGTCAGTAGGAAGCTTTGAGAGATTTTACATTCCTCCTCCCCCCTCTTCCCTCCCTAGGAGTGTGTTAAGTGAATAGCCTGCATCCTGATTGCTGTTTTTTCCTAGGTTTCAGGTGGAAATTATTCTTGAGGCTCATATTTCAGATAAAAGCACTTGATGTAGTTCGTAGCTGAAGCAGTCATCAGTTGGCCTGCATTTTGAACTATTTTCTGTAATGTGTGACCCTGTGGCAGTGAAATGGAGTCCGTTTTTGTCCTAGGATGAGAAACAGTTTCCCTCTTGGCTTTCTTGAATTCCAGAGAGAAAAAACATTGCCTAAAATTCAGTAGCATAGTAGAGCTTTTCTTTTCCTTTTCTATTCTTGTTCTTATTTCCTATTCTTACTGTTTTCTATTCCTTTACTTTATGTATAATATTATAATTCCAAAGTAATGTGAAGAGATTAGCTATATTTTTGCATTCTTGTCAATTATACTTAAAGGACTTCTCAATCCCAAACTGATCACTTGCTGTGTGGAGAGAGTACTAGGCTGAAAACCAGCATCCCCACCTATCTCTGCCCACGTGAACCACATTGCCTCAGTTTCCCCATCTGTAAAATAAGCAAATTAGGTTGTCTTTGTGGTGTTGTTAACTTTTTAGTCGCCATCCATGCATTACATCCCTAGCACTTAACAACTGCAATTTTGTCTCTTTTGACCACCATCACCCATTTCACCATTCCTTTCTAGTTTAACATTATATGATTCCGTCTATTCTCCCCATTTTGTATTTTAAATAGAATGTTTAAAGGGGGAGTTTTATTTGTTTTGTACACTTCTAAAATTATTTAAAGTCTGACTTTGAAATCCTATGATAGCATGACAACAGTCAGGAGAAGGTCCGTGTGCATTGGGAAGCATGTAGGTCGATACTTGGCGATAAATTCCTGCTATTTAAAGTCTTCAGTTAGTAGTTTTATTTTCCTTGTGGAGAAGAGATGTAGTCAGTGCTGACACCAGATGCTGCTGAGGGTCTGTTCTGTGTGAAGAGGATTCTTCAGTGTGTTTCAGTAAATACATTATGTATTGATAACTGGCAGAGAAGGGTTATGTGTGATTTTTATTCTTAGTTTTTCTACTGAATTTTATTTAGGTAACTTGATTGATCTCTCGCCTTATCTTTGCCTTTTCCTACCTCCTTCTGTTACCCCTTCCCTGAAAAAAGGTAAATGATGCTCATCAAGTTTTCAGAGCAGTTTGAAACACTGACTTGAAAGCTGTTCATCAGCTAAGTAGGAAATTTTTGTCTTTTACCTTAAATTTGCTTTGGCATTATTTAGAATCTGTTCTTTTAGTAAGAGCACAGAATCCATTTGTGGTATCTGCTCTCAGTTGGGAAGTTTTACCTACACTCGGATTTTGTATTTCAAAAAATGGGCTGTCTATAAATTGACATGATATAGTGTGAACATATTTATCATTTTCTCAAGAAAAGGAGTTCTGTGAACTGTTCCTATTCCATATTGTGTAAAAACTTAGAATATGTTTAGCTTGGGCTTTTCTCCTAAGACACTTAGATTTTTGAGGAGTCGAGGTTCTGAATATAGCGAGAAAGCAGCAGCTTTGGTGACAGGCTAATGTGGAAGTTTGCTGGGCTTTTGTGCCTGGGTCCTTTTAACTTGGTCTTCAGACAAGTGATTAAACTATGCTGCTGCTCAGCAGCTTGACCACTGAAGCATTTATCTCTCTCTTGTCTGTCCATTTCCCAGAAGATGAAAAGGCGAGGCGAGAAGTGTCTTCCTGGACTGTAGAAGGTGATATTAACACTGACCCATGGGCAGGTTATCGATATACTGGTAAACTCAGACCACATTATCCACTGGTGAGTAAATAAGGTAATAAAAATTTAATTTTCTTTTAAATCAACTTTCAGTTTCCTAAAAATGATACTTATAATTTATATTCCATTTATAAATCTTGTAATCAAGATTAAGTTTATATTTTAGCTCTTTAGTTTTTATGGTACATTATGTGGAAGTTAGGAGTAATTGGCAGTCATGGAACAGGAGAAAAAAGTTTAGATGAAAGGATTAAAACACTCTTAAAAAAAAGAATGAAGGGCTCTCTTGTCCCCTCCTGGCATGAGCCAGGAGCTGTTTCCTCTCACTTTATTTCTAAATAAAAGCCTGTACCTTGCTCTCCTACCTTGGGTGTTTGTGAAGCTCACTCTTTGGCTTCGTGACCAAGAACCCCGGCATCAATAGCACAGAGACAAAATGTAATAAATTGAGCAATAAAAAGTCTTTTGAAAATACACATTCCAAGAAAGGGAAGTGTGGGCAATCTCAGAGAGGAGGAGGTGCACCCCCCCAAAAAATAAGAATGAGTTAGAATAGATATTTTCTGGCTGGCACAATGGAAGATGTATTATAATCTTTATAAATAATTGATTAACTTGATGTATTTCTACCTTCACTTAAATATGGAATTTCTGCCACTCCTACCCTTCCTGTGTTGGGGCAGACCAATCTGAGTCTTAACATAATAACTGACTTGAGTTGAAATCTATTTGTCATCCTTAAATATTTAAATTCTTTTCACTGATGGTTTTTCTTTCTATAAAAGGAATGCATCTTTAATTTTTCAAAGTTGTAAAATATCTGTGTAAGAAAGTCTCTTTGCTCCTGCGTCCAGAGACGTGGCCAGGAGTATATTGGTGTATATTTACTCTGAGACATTATTACTGGTTTTGGTTTGCCAGTTTGTTTGGAACAATACAGGCGCCTAGTTGTCTGTATATAACCTTAAATCCCGATGGCCTTGACCACTCTCTCCCTTTCTTACCAAATATTCTAAGAAAGGAGGTGGCATTAGCCCTGGGAAAGCAAATTTTTAATCTTCATGAAATAGATACGATATTGAAGATGTCACTTAAAACTTTTTTTTATTTAAATGAAATGAATGCAGTTTAATCTTTAGTCCTTCTCTTCCCATTTTTATTTTCTTTGTTAGTAAATTTTAGTAGTGAAAGCTGCTTTGTCATTTGAACTGGTTTTAACTAACTTCTTTGGTGTTTTTAGATGCCAACGAGGCCAGTGCCAAGTTATATTCAAAGACCAGATTATGCTGATCACCCTTTAGGTAAATTCTGCCATGCTGATTCTTCATTTTTCAGTGTGTGGGTTTGGCTGCTGAAAAGGAAAGGAGTGGTTGTTTTTTTCCATAGAAATTTTTCAGTGCTGGATTTCTAATAAATGTAAACATGTTTTGTTAAGACGTACTAGAACATTTGAGGGAATTAAAGATTCTTTCCTCTCATTAGAAATCTACCCAATTCTGAAAACATTGTTCATATAGCTGTTAAAAGCTGCATTCAATGTAATTTATTTTGTGGTGTTAAATCAAGTTCTCGATTAAAGAAATAGCTTTGATTTTAACATGTTCTCCCTTAATTAAAATAATACCTGTCTAGATAAAAACTACCTTTGCTTTGTTCCCTAAATCATATTAAGTTCTTATGAATATAATTTTAAAATTTAGTTGAACTCCACTGTTTCAGGCAAATTGAAGGAAAAGATAGTCTGAATGATAGATACTGTTGAGAATGTATAATTTCATTACTCTGTATTGAATATTCTTGAATAGTTATAAATAATTAAAAATACATAGAAAAAATAAATTATAATAGTCTGAAATGTTATACAGTGAAAAGTAAGTTCACTCTCTAGATGTAACTACTGCTAACAGTTTCTTGCAGAACTTAACAGAGGTATTTTCCATGTATATATCATACCTCCTGTCCCATCCCCCACCAGCCCCCCAGAACACATAAAAGGAACAAATTATATGTACTTCTCACCTTGTTGCAGTCTCCTAATATATCTTGGAAAAATATTCCATAAAAGTTCATATAAAACCACTTCTTCCTTTTTAATGACCTAAGTATTCCATTGTGTGGGTGTTACAGTAATTTCTTAAACCAGGTTCTTGCTGATGTATGTTTGGATTATTTCCAGGTCTTTACTTCTTCCAGTTTGACCCCAGTAATTATTCTTGTAACTACATCTTTGTGTTCCACAGGTTAATTGCCTAAACTAAAATAGCTGGATCAAAGGATACATACATTTTTTATATTGAGAGAGATACTGCAAATTTCAGAAATTTTGTCAATTGTTACTCCCATTTAAAACATATGGGAGTGTCTTTTCCTGTATCTTCCTCAGCATAGCATGTTTTTACGCTTTACGATTTGTTAATCAGAAAGATGAAAAATGGTATTTTGCTATTAATTTACCTTTTTAAATTTGAGTAAGTTTGAGCATCTTTTTATATATTAAAAGTCATTTGTATTTCTTTTCCTTCTGAACTGTCTATTCATAGCCTTAGCCTTTTTTTTTTTTTTTAACCTTCGTGAGGCTACTAGTTTTTTTCCATACTTACTGGTAAGTACTCTGTCTATATTATGGAAAATAATTCTTTGGTGTATGTGTTACACATATTTTCTCCCAGTTGAACACTTGGTTTTTTTTTTTTAATAACATTATGTTTATGACAAACTTTCAACATTCTTCCATAGTAAAATTTATCAGTGTTTTGTTTTAAGGTGTCGATGGCTTTATGACCTAGAAAGGACTTTCTGGCTCAGAGATTTAAAAAATATTTTCCTGTGTTTTCTTCCACTATTTTTATGGTTTCACTCTTTTTGTGTGGTGATGAAATTTTTGATCCATCTGAAACATTATAGGAGTTAAATAGGGATAGAACTTAATCATTTTCCTAGAAGAATATCTGGTTGTCCATAATTAGTTATTTTAAAAAAATCAGTTCTTAGTGATTTAAACTGCACCCAATATCATTATATTAAATATCACATGTCTTTGGGTCTGTTTTTCGTCTGTTCTGTTTCATTAACCTATTGTCTAATCCTGTGCCATTGCCAAACTCTTATTATTATTATAGCTGATACAATGTTTTAATATTTGGTAGGCCTTGTTGCCCCCACCTTTCCTCTTTTTCAGAATTTTCCTGGCTATTGCATGTTTGTTTTTCCATGGGAAATTTAGAATCAGCTTGTCTGGTTCTAAAAAATATCCTTTTGCCATTTTTTATTGGGGTAGTATTAAATTTATAGACTAATTTTGGAAGAATTAACACCTTTTCAATATTGAGTCTTTATAGCCAAGAACAGGGTATATATTTTTCTATTTTGTAGAATTCTCCTTTTATGTCTTTTAGTGGTATTTCAAATTTTCTTCATTAGGTCTTTTATTGTTAAGATTATTCCTGGATACTTTTATCTTTTTAAGTTATTCTTATGAATAATATCTTCTGTTGCATTTTATAGCTCATTGTTTGTATATAGGAAAGTTATTGATCTTGATATATTTATTTTATAGTCTGCCAACTTGCTGCATTCTTTTTTCTCATCATTTATCAGGTATTCCTTGTTCTAGAGATATATAATCACATCTGAAATTGATAGGGATTTTGTCCTTACCTTTCTAATTTTGTCTTACTTTCTCTTGTTTAAGTTACATCTGCTAGTATTGTCAGAACAATGTTAAATAGTGCTGTTGACAGCTGGCATTCCATGATGTTGGTCCTAGACTTGAGGTTTATGTTTATCATGTTAAGGTGATAGCTGACCATGTTATGTTATTATCTTTCTAGATGATTATTTATTATTTCTTCCTTAGTCTGTAGCTATGATGAATTATATTAACAGATTTGTTGGTACCTATTCTTGCCTTTCAGGCTCGAGCTGAGCTGCTGTCACCAATATTCTTGCCTTTCAGATATGAATCTCACTTAAGTCATAGTTTACTATATGTTTTATGGATTCTGTCTGATACCTTATTTGGAATTTTTATGTCAGTATTTATAAAAAGGTTTATGATTATATTTTTTGTCACATTTTGAAATTATACTGGCTTTAACACTTTTAAGTATATGAATAACTTGAATTAAGTGAATTTTAGTAGAAAGGATTCTTAGGGCAGTATTTTTCAAACTTTATGATCTAGAGTGAGAAGTGTATTTTATAACATGACCTATGTATGTATGTATGTATGACCAGTAAACTGTTGTTTGTGCATACTTTTATGCAATAGTGTTCTGCTTCAGTAGCCTACTTGAAAATTAATATTGTAAGTAATCTGTGGTTAGTTGAAACTGTTTCATTTACCCCTTGTTTTTTTTTTTAAAGAACAAGGTTTTTATATTTGTCATTTTATTTTTAAGTATTATCATAACATAGGACAAAGTTTAAGGCTTTATATAAAGTTAAAGCTCTTATTGTGTGTCTGTGTGTATAAATTAGCAGTCAAACATTTCACAAGTCCACTTAACCCTATACCCTGAATTATATAGTTTAATATTGTCTGTTCCATTTATTTAATTTAAAAAAGTGTTAGTCATAGCCCACTAAAGGGTCACAAAGTGCAGTTTGAGAAACACTGGTTGAGGTTGCTGTTTAAAAAAATGTATGTGTAATTGATTTATCAATTGTGAATATATAGTTGCTTCATAAGTGATGATCATGAAAGCAGTTTGTAAATTGTATGGTACTATTCAAATGTAAACCATTTACTCACCTTATCAGCACACTGCCTGTCATAAGTACTCCATATTGACTCCTTTCTAATAGATCTGGAAGTTGTTTTTAAGAATTTTTTTTGCAAGTTTCTTCTCATGTTGAAAATATTTTTTCATAAAGTCTGACCTGGAATGTCCCAAATTATAAAATACCATTGTGTAAAATACTGAAGCTTGACTTTTATTATGTCATCAGGGAGAGAATTATGCTAATAATACACATCTTTTGTTCACTTTGGTTTTACTCACTGATTTTCCTTTCCAGGAATGTCTGAATCTGAACAGGCTCTTAAAGGTACTTCTCAAATTAAATTACTTTCAGCTGAAGATATAGAAGGGATGCGACATGTATGTAGGGTAAGAGTTATTTTTTCCCCATGGGGTCAGACATGTTAAAGCAGTTACTAGGTGTGAAATGGATGATTTGCTAATTTACGGAGCAGGTGTTATATTGTAAGACTACGTAAGACAAAGTATTACATTGTAAGATATTGTTAAGACTAAGATTAGCTTTTCAGTACACTATTGTTTGTGCATAATTTTATGCAATAGCTGTTTTCTGTTTAAATAGCCTACTGGAAAATTAATATTATAAGTAATCTATGTTTCAATTTTTTTTTTAAAGAACCTGGTTTTATATTTTGTCATTTTTTTTTAAGAGTCATCATAACGTAGGGCAAAGTTTAAGGCTTTGTTTAAAGTATAAAGCTCCTTTTGTGAAATACTAGACATTGGTTCCCCCTTATCCATGGTTTCAGTTGCCCATGGTTTCAGTTGCTGTGGTCTTCGCAGGTAAAACTTCTGATGTATCATCAAAAGGTTAATAATAGCCTAACTCTATGTCACAGTGCATATATCACTCACCTCACACTATCTCATCTCGTAGGCATCTTATCTCATATCATCAAAAAAAAAGAAGAGTGAGTAGAATCCAATAAGATACTTTAAGAGACCACATTCATATAACTTTTATTGCAGTATATGGTTATAATTGTTCTGTTTTAGTATTGTTAATCTCTTACTGTGCCTACTTTATATATTAAACTCTATCATTAAGTATGTATGTAAAGGAAAAACATTATATATAGGGTTCTTTACTATCTGTGGTTTTAGGCATCCCCTGGGGGAATCTGGGACGTCTCCCCTGTGGCTAAGGGGAGACCACTCTACCTACCAAGTGTGGTAGTGGCTGGGACTTACTAGGTGAAATTACATGTTTATATTTTTCTAAGGAAAAATAATTGGTACATTGGTATTGTTCATTTAGATGTGATGCTTAAAGTTTTTATTCAGTGCTTAAAAGTGATTCGGTAGTAATTTTCTTTTGATAATCTGGAGAAATTTATATTTCTATCACTTATTTGCTGTGATTCTTGGAGGAAAATCATTCGTCTATTTCTTTTATCTCCCTTCTGATTATAGAAATGTGGGAAGACTCAAACCTCCGTCAGTTGATTATTGTTTTGATTACTCCAGATATGCATTTTCACATAGAAATCAGTCAAGTTTACTTATTTGCAAAGCTATTTGCTAGTTAGCCCAATTTCTTGTATATATTCTCTCTCTCTCTCCCTCTCTCTCTCTTTCTCTGTCTCTCTCTCTCTCTCACACACACACACACACACACACACACACACACACACACACACAATTTATTGATGGATGTTAGAAATACAAATAGTTTGAAAATGAAAATTCAGGATTATAATATTCAAGGTGAGATTCATCTTATGAATCTCCTACAAAATCTAAGATAATACAAAGGATGCAGGTTTCTATTTCTCTTTCATTTCTTCTTGAATATATGAAGGGTTTCTCTTTTCCAGCTTGCTAGAGAAGTATTGGACGTTGCTGCTGGGATGATTAAACCAGGTGTAACTACTGAAGAAATAGATCATGCTGTACATTTAGTAAGAACTTTACTTTTATGTTTTTGAAAATTTTTTTCACGTTATTAGATATTTTAGACTTCTAAGAAGTAAGTTCTGAAGATCTAAAGTAATGTGCATGGTTAGGCTAATTTAAAAGTAAATTTTTACTTTTGTTTCAAGTATAGAAAATACTCAACAGTTATTCCCATCTTTGAGTATCAGTAATATTTAGGTCTGAGGTGAGTTTGAAATATTTTGTATCTGGGACTTTACACTTCATAACATTTTCAGTTAATAAAAATGATTAATTTTATTAGTGCTTCAAATATATCATGCCACTACATCAAATATTCTGAAGTAAAAAAGAATACAACTTCTGGAACTGGATTAATAGAAAAAATATTCAATTTCATATTCACAATAAGGCAGTAAAAGACCAGATAAATATTTATAGTAAACATGGTATAGGGATACCTTTTTAATAAAAATTGCCTATCCAAGGGGACACCTTAAAAACCTAAGCAGATATATAGTACACACATTACATGCATAGATTTTTCACAAAAGAAGGGTAACAACTAATAAATCACGTGGAAAACTAATTAAAATTGCTCAGGTAAACAATGTAGATCAGAAAGACTCACTAAATTAGTATTTTTAAGATGTTTATACCCAGTGCCTATGTGGAGGTAATGAAACTGATGCTCTTTTACATGATGGTGACAGTGTAAGTTGAGACAACCCTTTTGAGAGGAAATTTGACAGTGTCTTGAGCTATAAAATTTTTTTATTTAGAATTTGTAAATCCTGATTTTGGGGTATTGTTCTACATGTTACATAGCACATAGAATATGCAGTAATAGCATTCTAAATGCTTCCTATGGGCCAGGTGCTCTTTTACATGCTGCTTTCACTGATTCATTTAATCTCCCCAACTTCATGAGGTAGATGCTCCTGTCATTTCCATTTTGTAGATATGAAAACTGAAGCAAAGGGATTAGTTAGTTAATTTGTCCAAGTTTACACAACTTGTAAATGATGGAGTTGGCATTTTCAGTTAAGACAGTCTGCTCTTGTATGTCTTGCCTGCTATTTATACTGCTATGACAAATATAGAGGATATCATTAAATGAGGGGAAACTCACAAGTAACTATTGGTTGTAGAATTTTTTGTAATTGAGGAAACTTTAAATTTCCAATAATGGAATCACAGTAAATGGTATATTCCACAAGTTGTATTATATGCAAATATTTAAAAATTGTTACTTTGAGGATTATGTGAGGAAAAAAATTAAGTATGTTATGACTCATTGTGTAAAGACATTCAAGTAAAATAAGACTTATTATGGAAAACCAGATCATTTTCTTTTTTAGAGGTTTCCTTGTTGTTCCATATGAATATAGTGATTAAAATGCCTGGAAATACTTTATAATCTCTAAATGATACTAGTATTCACTTTTTGGTCATATGGATATAGGCTTGTTTCTATGTAAGAAATTACAATTACATTTGAAGTATGTTACTATTTACTTTAAATATTAACTTTAAATAATATGTTTTTCATAAGGAATAGTTAATTCCAAACTAGTATATCTTCATATAGTAGCATTTGTGTATATTTGTAAATATTGGTAATAATGTGTATTTGTTTTTTCTTTGAAATTACTAGTAAACTGATTTGTCTACATTCTATGACACAAGATAATATCTACAACAATTGCTAAAATAAAATTAAGCTTTTCATTATGAGATCTGTATGATACATTTTTTCACTTTCTTTGAATTTTAAAATCTGCTTAATTGCATATAGATTAGTTTTTTCTTTTGCACATTCCAAATTATTTTCTCTGTATTTTAATTTATGTAGGCATGCATTGCAAGAAATTGCTATCCTTCTCCCCTGAATTACTATAATTTCCCAAAGTCTTGTTGTACTTCAGTGAATGAAGTGATCTGCCATGGAATTCCAGACAGACGGCCTTTGCAAGAAGGTGATATTGTTAACGGTAAGAAATATGTAAGTGTGACTTTTGCCACCACAAGCAAAGAAGCCATTTTTATGGCTCTAAGATACTTCCTGCTTAAGAGATCTATGGTGTATTTGGTACAGCATGTATTTCTTTAATTTGATTATAGTAAATAGGTGAAATATGTCATTGAAATGTGGAAGTAAGGTTGATTCAAGTGAGATTTTTTCTTCTTTAGTCCACTAATGGTTTTGAAGAGATGAGGGCAGACTTCTCTTACAGATAAAGAGAAATCTTTAGTAATATATAAAGACCTTAAGAAAAAAACTGTAAGTCCTGCAGAAGTGCCTCCCTCCATGTAAGTTCAGAAAGTGGCCTTAAGGACCACTATGTTAAGCTTTCTTGGGAAGCTGCATGTGTAGGGCAAGAAGCTACCATGACATTTCCCTCTGTATTGATGAAGAAGGCTCCCCTAGGTGGTAGTTTTTTTTTAAATTGAGGAATCATTAATATACAATCTTATGAAGGTTTCACACCGGCAACATTGTGGTTTCAACATGCACCCAGTATTATCAAGTTACCCCCACACCCTATTGCAGTCACTGTCCGTCAGCGTAGTAAGATGCTATAGAGTCACTACTTGTCTTCTCTGTGCTATACTGCCTTTCCCGTGCCCCCGCCCCCCAACATTATGTGTGGTAATCATAATACCCCTTAATGTCCTCCCTCCCCCACCACTTCCCTTTGGTAACTGCTAGTCCCTTGTTAGAGTCTGTGAGTCTGCTGCTGTTTGGTCCCTTCAGTTTTGCTTTGTTGTTATACTCCACAAATGAGTGAAATAATTTCATTCTTGTCTTTCTCCACCTGGCTTATTTTGCTGAGCATAATACCCTCTAGCTCCATCCATGTTGTTGCAAATGGTAGGATTTGTTTTCTTCTTATGGCTGAGTAATATTCCATTGTGTATATGTACCACCTCTTCTTTATCCATTCATCTACTGATGGACATGGGTTGCTTCTGTACCCTACATGTATTTTTAATTTAGGTGAATATTAATCCTATATAAGTAGTCATATAAATAATGACTTAGGAATATATAAGTAACCATGTATCTTCAAGGAGCTACATATGAAATGAGGAAGTGTGAGCCCGTGTTAGAGGCTCTGGAGAGCACACCAGCTCTGATGGTGGTGAAGAATAGCAAATATTTTTCTGTTTACTGATTTGGTAGGAGGAGGAAAAAAACTTATTAAAGATAAGTAAAAGTATTTTCTGAGTAATGTTGAAATGTAGTGAAACCCTCTATTAACTGTTACTAACTCAGGTTATTAGTCTTGCATTTTTTTATCTTGGATACATTTTCTTCTGCCATAAATTATCTAATTACTATTATAAGCGTATAAAGTTGTATGGTCATGTCCCTGTTCTCCAATGAGTTTAGTTGTGTTAAAAGACACAAGGAGTGCCTGTTGGCTAATAACTATATGTCTATTGGTGTCTACGTTAAGAATGCAGAAGTTTTCTTTCTCATTAAGCTACATGAAGCTTTCCTATTGGAGAAGAAACTTGACCTCAAATTTGAAATAAAAACAAATATTACTCTGTATTTTCACATTCTTTTGCAGTGGACATCACTCTTTATCGCAGTGGTTACCACGGGGACCTGAATGAGACATTTTTTGTTGGAGATGTGGATGAGGGAGCACGGAAACTGGTTCAGACCACGTATGAGTGCCTGATGCATGCCATCGATGCAGGTTGGTGTTGGGACTGCTGTGTAGCCGGGTGGTGAGTGACTGGCCACTGCACTGTGTGTCCTCCTCCCTGCCTGGGTGCATTCTGGTTTTTAGCAGTCACGGGTTTAAGGATGATCTGGGAATCTCCTGAGGAGGATGGACTGGATTATTGTGTGTCATCCTTTGTCTCTTCTGTGGTTTAATCTTCTTGGCTTTGTCTGATAAATGAGGAGGAATGTAGAAATAGTCCTTGAGTGTACTTTTTTCCCTACTTTATTATTTTGTAATTATAATGTTCTCATTATAAAAACTTGTTCACTAGATTATGAGAGAAAAACGAATGATCCTCCTTTACACTTGTCTGTCTTCTTTCCTTTTGGTATCTCTCTTTTCTCCAGAGATACCCACTTTTAACGTTTAAGATTTTTTCTTCCCTGTGCATTTATTAACACACACACCTATGTGTATGTGTTTAGTTAGGTTAAATGGAATCATGATATTTGTCGTATTCTGTAATTTGGTACTTTTCCAACTAATATCTTTAAGATCTTTCCAGATTACCATATGTACCCACATTCAAATGTCTATCCATTCCTTTAAGGCTGAATATTTATTCTGTAGTATAAAAATTTCTAGAACTAACCCCTTCATGAATTTGGTGTTTTCCAGATGTCTAACTATTGTAGTGAGTAATATCTTTTGGTAAGTGTGTAGGAGTTTTCTCAGGTTGTCTGTCTTTGTCCATAAAAACAATTCCTCCAAGCGTTTGTTTGTTTGTTTGTTTATGGTATATCTTGTGAGGAGAGAGAAGGAAAGGCTTGTGGTGAATGTTAACAGACTATTACTAAAAGGACAGTTTGAGGACAAATAACATTTCATTTGAAATCCACAGCATTTCAACTTTATTGTTCAGTGTATTATCTGTCCTGCTCCATCCTCCTCAACCCCAGCCCCCAAAATAAACCTGATACATCAACAAAGTATTGGACAGGACATGGTCCTTAGCTAAACATAATTATCTCTAATAATATAGATGCACTATATTATTTGTACTGTTTTTAGTCCACCTAAGATGTGTAAAAGATGATGAAATTTTTACTAATTTAATAAGGAGTAAAAAATGAAAGCATGTGATATTTTCATTTATCAGTATGTAAGATTTCTGTTTATTTATTATTCCCTCTTGATTATTTTAAAACTTTAATATTCCTGGTATTGTGAGATGAGAACTTGAGTGTTTAGCTTCTCATTTATGGAAACTTTTGTTTTAAATCTTAAGGTTTCTGCCAGATAATGTTTTCAATGTTTATATCCTTTTTGCTTCTCTCTGAGTTGATTGAGGTAACCAGACAGCTGGAATGTTGTTTTACATAGACATAGGAATAAGACTTGCCAAGAAACTACCAGAAACCAGTTTTCATAGCAGTAGCCAGAGAAGAACAAAAGCTGCTTAATCTCTGGCAAGTGCTGTTACACCCTTTGAATGCATCATCCCTGCCCTTTATTTTCCTAGTTTGGCTGTCCACCGTGGTGCAGACCACTGGAGAGCTGGACCAGTTGTTGAGATTATCTTCTAGAATAGGGCTTCTCAGCCTACACATTACTGGCACTTTGAGTGTGAGAGTTCTTGGCTGTAGGGGCATGGTCTGTGTGTTGTAGGACGCTGAGCAGCATTCCTGGTCTCTCCTTGCTGGATGTTGGTTGCATCACCACTTCTAGTTGTGAAACCGAAAATATCTCCAGATGTTGTGAAGTACACCTTGTGACCAGAATGGCCTCGCATTTGAGAATTAGGGAGGAATCTCCTCTCTTACCCTCTGTCATTACTGTGAAACAGGGATTTTCTTTGTTGTACACTGTGCAACACGGGCTAAACTTTTGCTTTTCTCCCCATTGACTGTGGGTGACAGGAAGGCTTTGATAGGAATGCAAGAAAATGATTAGGAAAGTCAGCATGGTTCCTCAAAATCATTAACCTTCCACCCCCCAAAAAGTCAAGCTGCAACATAAGGGTAATAAGAGTAAGTAATTGTTAATTAAAATGATTCCTTGAGCCATTTCCCCAGAAACTTGATTGGTTGGAGAAGATACATCGTACCTGAATCTCATGTTGGAAATGAGGCGGAGTAGGAAACTGTAAGGAGTCAGAGGACCTTCCATTATTTCTTGGACATTCCTTTTTTCCCTGGTGCTCTTTCCTCTTTTACTTCTGCTCACTTCAGTAGAATAGCACACTTGTCCTTAGGGAAAGAGAGAAAGAGAAGTGTTTTTTCCACTTTCTTGTTTATTCAGAAAGCAAAAGGTACCTCTCCCAACTCATCCCCTTAGGTACTGTGCACGTGTCTTCTTTTCCCGTATCAAAGGAGGAAGTACAGGTGCTCCTGGCTTGGCTCCATTTTGTCATATACTGGTGGTCTGACCTTTCTTCACCTCGGTTTTCTTATCTGAAAGTTGGCATGTAGGCATATAAAGCATTCAGAAAGGTTCCTGGCACATAGATAGAAATTGCTTAGTAAATGTTAGTTATTATTAACTCTTTGTCATGAATATTTTCTTTTCCTTTTAGTGAAGCCTGGTGTTCGATACAGAGAATTGGGAAACATTATTCAGAAGCATGCCCAAGCAAATGGGTTTTCAGTTGTTCGAAGCTATTGTGGGCATGGAATCCATAAGCTTTTTCATACAGCCCCCAATGTACCCCACTATGCCAGTAAGTACTGTCCAAAGGTTTAGTATTAGCTGACCATTTATTCGACAAATATTCATTCAAACACTTAACAGGACCTAGTAGTTTGTATTTATTAGAGTAAGCTATTAGCTGCTATAAATAGACCAAAATGTGTGCTCAAACACTAAATACACAGTCATATTCTGTGCACGTAACAGTTCAAAGCATGTGTGTTTGGTCACTTTTGGGGGCTGGGGCAGGTATTCTGTGACCCAGGCTTAGGCCTTTTTCTATCTATAGCTTTCAGGTCACTTTGGGAATTGCCCTTCTAATCTATAAATGCTGAGGAGGAGGGGGAGAAGCATAGAGGTGGGTATGCATGGGAGGTTTTAATGAGCCAGCCTGGAAATGGCATATATCACTTATATTTACTTTTCACTGGCAGGAATTCAGTCACTGACTACACTAACTTCAGGGGAGGTTGGGAAATATAATCTAGCTGAGTACTCTGGAAGAAAATTAATTTGGGGGAACAGCCAGCAGTCTCTGTCACATGTCTTGCCACCATTATTCTGATTACTTAAGTGAAATTAGTTCAGCTTGTTTGACTTGAGTTCTTAATGGGTACCAGATACTCTATGTGTTAGTATAGAGGAGAGGAGGCAGCCTTCCCTCAAGTTGAGTATCATCGATGGAATGACATGGAAGTGTAGGACAGTTGATGACTTCCGGAAACCTTTTCTCCTGGAGAGAAAAGACATGCAGGAATAAGTCTGTTACTTAGTGCTAGAAATGAAAGCTGTTCACAGTAAGTGACAGGCATTCCTAAGCAGGAATTTTAACATATATGAGCCACCGCAGTATAGACACTCTCATATATCTCCTTGTGCTTGTGCATAAATTTTCTCATCTGTACAATAGTAAGGATGGTACCTACCCTAGAACTGTTACTAGGATTAAGTGAGATAATATGTGGAAAATACTTAACATTAACTTTTAGAATGATGGTGATGATATCCATTATCTCATTTGATCATCATAACTCTGAATAATTCTTTAAATCTTATTTTATAAAGCAGATTCTGTGCTTAGCTAATTTATTTACTCAAGTTTATACAAACCTAGTATGTAAGTGCCAGGGCTAAGACTGGTACCTGGGTTCTGGCTGGCCTTCTACAATCAGTCTTCTTTCCTGTGCTTCATGTTGCCTAGTAAGGACCAAAGCAGTCTTGTGCTAGGTTCTGTGGGAGAAATAAAGTATGGTTGAGATTTTGGTTTGGTGAAGAAGATGAGGAAGAGCATTCCAGGGGGAGGGGAAGCATGAATAGGTGCATCAAGTTGAGACTGAACCAAAGAAAAGGTAAGTTGGGTTATGTTAAGAACTACCAATGTCAGTGCCAGACTGATTTGCAGACACATTTTTGGGTGGAAGAATGGCCAGGTGAAGCTGCTTTCTTGGGAAGACAAATTGGGGAGTGGTGTCTGGGATGTATGGCAGGTGTGAGCTAGTCAGCCTGATGTACAGTTGTCACTGTGGTCTAGGTGTGAGGTGTTAAAACCCAACACATAGGTAGTTGTGAATAGAAAGGGAAATGAGTGAGAAACCTCTTAACAGGAGAAGCAGGACAAGCTATTTAGATCACATCATTTGATGTATTTCAAGAAGCATTTATTAGAAAACCACATGGTTCATTTTATTTAAGCCGTGAATTGTGCTTGAAAAACAGCCAGCAACAGAAAATAAGTAGCTGACTTCCAACTCCTACCTGGTAAACCTTGTAGTCACCTTATATGACTTCAACAGAGTGGAAGGAACTGTGCTGTTTATAGTGGTTCAGTGTGTGTGTGTGTGTGTGTGTAAAGAATGTGCAGGGGAGGGAAGGAATATAGTGGTTCAGTGTGTGTGTTTGTGTGTGTGTGTGTGTGTGTGTGTGTAAAGAATGCAGGGGAGGGAAGGAATACAGTCCCCTTACTTGCAGAGATTTAGGTATGGATTAAATTGTAAGAGAGACTGAACCGAATTTATGGAAGAATGGGATGTGAGTCAGTGATGACAGTATCAGCAACATATGGTGCCACTGATAGAGATGCTGTTTGAGTTTCATATTAAACCATTTAATTAGAAATAAAAAATAATTCTGAAAGAAAAAAGCAAGGTCTGGGTATACTTCATACATTTGATGTGTTTATGAAAAGTCAAGCATAAAGCAGGTTTATATAAATCAAAATATGGTGGGATCACTAGTTTGGACAAGTATTAAAGGCAAGTATTAAAGAAAACCACTGAGACCCTTTGTACAGGAGAGCCTTTTAAAAATGTGAACGATCTCTGCTTTGGCTTATAACTCCATGTTCCTAATCATCTGAGGGTGGAACCAGGAAGTGGTCCTGTAACTTTCCTCCACCCTCTGTATAAGGAAGTCCTGGTTAAAGGAGAGTATTTGCTGCTTTATTTAAGTCCTTAGGGTTGGAAAGTAATGATGATAATAACCTACATTTAGAATGTATATTATAGTAGTTCTGTGGGGTAGACATAGAGCAAGTACAATTTTTTAATGAAAGTACTTAGCATAGTGTCTGTACTAGTATAGTCACTCAGATAATATATATTTGTTGAGTGAGATATGTTGAGAAACTAAAAGCATGAGTTGAAATGAGTGGGAGTTGTAACTTACAGAATAATGACTCAGTGGCAGAAATAGGAGTGGGACTTCAATAAACTGAATCAGCACTGCCCAGTAGAAAATATATTAATGTACTTAAAAAGTTTCTAGTGGTCATATTCAAAAAGTGAAAACAAATCAGTGAAATTACTTCTAATGGTATGTTTTATTTAATTCATTACATTCAAAATATTAGCATGTCAATATTTAATCAATGTAAAGGTTGAGAAATATTACATGCTTTTTTTGTCTTTGGAATATTGTCATTTTTCTTCTACACTTACATCCCATCTTACTCTGATCAGCCACCTCTCAAGTGCTCAGTAGCTACATGAGCCAGTGCTGCTCATTGGGACAGCACAGCTCTAGATTCCTTTGTCCCGTTTTCTTTCCGTGACACCATCTGACACTCTTCACTTCTTTGTGATACCCCCAGGGAGTATGACCAAGTGTGTATGCGTACTGAATTGCATGTTATTTGGTGAGAAAGTTTATGAGATTAGAAATGAAGGGTCGAAATCTGCCCCTCAGATTTTATAACAAGAACTCCAGATATGGAATATGCAGAGAGTGGATTTTGACAATACCTAGGATAGTGGAAAGCAGCATGATAGCTAATTTACAAGGAAAGATGTGCAGCAATAGAAATGTGGGGGAGAACAGATCATACTTAGAAAGAGTGGCGTTTAGTAGATTCAGTCTAGGTGGACACTTAAAAATGTCATTCGTTACCAGAGTGGCTATCCTGAGGACCAATAGTTTTACCTAGAAGCCCTAAAGCCAGTGCTTCTGCCATCTAGTGGTCAGTCAGAGCAAATGCAGTCATTTGTTTCTGGATGGCTCCTGTTTTTTAATTTGAAACAAACTGGTTCTCCATTTCTGTCTGAGATTTCTACAAAGGTCTATCCTTAGTTCAAGATTTTGGCCTTTTTTGTGTGGATACTTTAATTCACAGTTGTACAAGATGACCCTGAAAAATACTGTCATATTAGTGGATTCTGACAAAAAAACTACAAGTTTTTGGAGGGAAAAATGGAATTTCTATTTTCAAATAAAAAGGAATGGTCTCATTAGCATTAAAGAAAAGATAGTGTGCAGAGTTTTGTACCCCTTTGAATACAAGAAAAAGAGAACAACTTACAAACTTTGTGAAAATCATGCAGTTGTATCTGGGCTGTGCCCCTGCCCTCGTCCCCACCCCTGCACCCATCTGCCCACCCACCTATGGGGTGGGCGATTGGAAGCATCTGTTGTTTCCCTTGCGTTGTTGTGCATGGATGAGTAATGGAACTTTGCTTGGTTCCCTCATGGCTGTTCTAATCCTGCTGTAACTTAAATGATGGTACTTTTCCTTTTAAAGAAGTGGTAACCACATCTGAAATCCAGCCCACGGGCATCTCTTTTTCCCAGAGAAAACATAAGGAGAATGAAGTGTTCCTAGGTGGTTATCGGTGCAGTACTTATGGCTGAGTGATCTGCTCAGAGAAAGGGGAATCTGTTCAGAGGAGGGGAGAAGGTATCACTGATGGGATGTAGGGTGTATACTCTTCCCAGGGAGCTGTTGAATAGTACACACTGGTGTTTTGCTATGTTTTGAGATTTTTTTTTCTTTAATTTCAGAAAATAAAGCAGTTGGAGTGATGAAGGCGGGCCACGTGTTTACAATTGAGCCGATGATTTGTGAAGGTGAGAGAAAGGGTGCTGTCATGTCCTTTGGTGGATTTTTATTTATTTTGGTTGCTCATCACCATATTGGTAGTCGCTTTATTTCCTTTTGCTTCACTTCTACCCCCTGTTCCATCTTGAACCTGATTCAGTATGATGTGGAGAACTGGACGTTGTAAGAAACCAGTACCTCCATGGTAATTCTGCTGTCAGGAGATGCTGAAGTACTTGAGTCTTGGTCCCTTTTCATGACAGTCCTGTCAAAGGGTGTGCTGTGATAATCAGGAGCCTCCATCAAGCCTGTGTAGAAACTTTTGCTTGACACGCGGTTGGAGGAGGAAAAAAGTAGAGCCACTCACTTTGAGGCAAATATAGTTATATGATTTAACTCTCCACAACTTGGGAAGCAGGTGCTACCCCATTATACAGAAGAGCAGACTGGCCTTTGAAGAGGTTGCGTATCTTGCCTAAAGTCACCTAGCTAGTTATGTGGCAGAGGCTGTCGGACTGTAAACTCATGAGCTGTTGGGCCTCTTCAGGGTCTGCATGTATGACCTGGCATCGTACAGCCGTTTTGGAGAGAGCACGGCACAGACACAGCCAGGGCTGGCGGCCTTACGTCCACTGTTGTTATTCCCTCGACAGACACATGGCCATGATGATAGACTTGGTATTGTGATTAGAATTCCTCACTGAGCCTGTCAGACTGGTAACCCAGGCCTGCATTGTGAAGCTTTCACCTTTCTTTGCTGCCAGTTGTTTGTTGGACTAGGGGATGCAGAGTGAGGCAACACTAGGGGGGCTCATGTGCCTGAGCCCTGTGTTAAAGGGCTCCTCTCTGGATCATTCCAGTCTTTTATGACCTAATCTTGGGAGTGATATCCCATTACTTCTTCCAGATTCCTGCTCTTAGAAGGGAGTCAGTAAACCCAGTCCACTTGCACAAGGAGGATGGGAGCATGGGAGGTTGTTTAGAGGCTGCCTTCTTAATCTGATCTTCTGTTGCCTCTGTAAAAAGGAAATTACATTCTTTATCCTGACAACACCCCAAAGCTGCTTTAGGAACTAAGGGAGATGTTTTACATTAACACAAAGTACCTTGTGTAATTTAAAGGGATGTACAAATGTATGATACTGTGTTTATCATTCTCATGGAACAAGAATAAAATTCTGATCATGTGTAACCAGTTGCAAGGGCAGGAAGTATATTAGCAAAGGCATGACAGACTTTTTAAATTCTAGAGAGGAAAATACTGTTTAGTTACATACCTATTTTCATCAACTGGCACCTGGTTGGTGAGACATAATGTGGTATTTCCAGGAGTAAGCAAATAACTTTCTATAGAGCCAGTTCAGATAACCATTAAATTATAACAGATATACTTCAGTGTAACTCAGCTAGTTTACATCCCAGCTCCAGAGTGTAAAGTCTCAAATCAAAGAGGAATTTGAAGTTCCTGAGAATAGTAGCCAAATAGCTTTGACTATACATTACTAAAGAACCTGTTTTAACAAATCATAATAAAATCAAAGAAATATTATATCTTAAATTCATTTGTGAGAAAGTCATTCATTACATTGAAAAATAACCACTTACTCTTCTTAAGATGTTTAACAAAACATGGATTAACTTTAAGTTATCTCATACTTCCTTTTTAGACTGTGATTTGGTATCAGAGCAGTAGGTTACTTCAGTTGCAGAGGGCTGGAATTGTCCGAGTCAGTGAGACCTAATCTTTGATAGAGATTACTCAAAATGAAGAATGAATTGATTTTTTTTGACATCTAATTTGGAGACAAGAAAGTCTCTTTTAAACACATATTTTTCTAGTAATGTCCAGAATCGCCTTTCTCATTTTCTCCCCCCACTTCTGCCTCCCCTCACCTCTTCTTCCTCTCCCCTCCCCACTCTTGAGTGGTCTCTTCCACTGTCTCCCAGCTGCTTGTACTTGTCCCTTCATTTCCTTGCCTTACTTTCAACCATGCTCTGACCCCTCTGCCTCATCATAGTGTTTTTATTCCTCACCATATCCTATGACTTGCTCTTTGCCTCATTTTGTGGTTACAAGGGTCTACAAAGATTTCACAGTAATATCTGTTCTCACCATCTGTGTGCTTGCCATTTAAAAGTTATATCATGGTTGAAATGCTTTAATAAAAGTATTAAAAAGTTACATTCTTTCACAGTATACATTGGCTATATTTTACAGATGCCAAAGTTATACCAGGAAAGATCAATATATTCATTAATTCAGTTTTTTACTTGTTCTGTGGTGATGTGTATCAGTATGTTTCCCAAAATGAAACTCAGTGCCTTTCTTGTAGAAATAACCATCTTGATTTAATATTTGATAAGCATAAAAAATGTGAAGTTTTAATACACCTCAGGAAATTTAAATGTCATTACTTCATTGGACTAAAGACCAAAAGGACGTTGGAAAGGCTTTAGCTAAAACAATTAAACTGTAGGTAAGAATCTTAATGGTGAATTTTCTAATTCTGAGGTATCCAAGGATATCGGAGTACATGCAAAGACACTTACATAGAGAGTTCAGAAAACTGAGTGATTGATAAATAAATGATTTTTGTTTGTTTATTTAAGGTGGATGGCAGGATGAAACCTGGCCGGATGGTTGGACTGCGGTGACAAGAGATGGAAAGCGGTCTGCTCAGTTCGAGCACACCCTGCTCGTCATGGACACTGGCTGTGAAATCCTAACCCGGCGGCTTGATAGCTCACGGCCTCACTTCATGGCCCAATTGTAGTTTCTTTGAGATGGTACATCTCAGTAGGACCTTTTGGCTGTACTATTCATTTTACTGAGAGTACAGAATGGGAGAGGACATTTTTTATTACGTGTTTTGTTTTGACTATAGATAAGGAAGAACTACAGCATTTGATGTTTGTCCTCAAGAACTTGTCTTGGGTCTGAAAAAGCTGAGAAGAATAGAGGAGACATTTCTTAACTCCTTTCAGTGCTCCTCTGTCCCCCTCAAAATCCCCATACTCCTCTCTTCTGATTTGCCCTTTGAGCACTTTTACTTAAACCTGCTTCTAGTTGCTTTTATCACTGCCACAATTGGGCCATCAAGAGCCAGCTGCTTTCCAGGTGAATGTTGACGATGAGAATCCTTGCAACTTCAGCAACATATGTTGCTCCAGATTTATTATGTATGTAGGGATATATATATGTGTACATTTTAAATTCCATATATGTAATTAACGAGTACAATGTGATCTGGGGTGTGTGCTTTGACAGGTCATATGCTGTCATAAGTAGACCCATAGTTTGCAGTGATTTAATTCCTAGTTGGGAATTGGCCTCCCTCCTCCCCTGTGCTAATTATTTACTCTTGTGTGTAAGGAAGCACTGGGTCAATGAGACTCTCCAATTTGGACTTTATGTTGGTGAGTAGATATGGCAAAATTCACTTTGGAAAAAAAGGTCGTCAGGCTTCTTAAAATCTAATTTATGGCAAAAATAGTCCTGCTCTAAGTGGTAGTGCTGGCTGTTGCAGAGCATGAGAATTCTGTAATACATTGCTCTTTCAGACCTCTGTTTGGTCAAAATGGGAGGAAAAAAGTCCCTTGCTTCCCCTATTTTATTTCAAGGTCATCCCTTGGAGGTAGTCAGAGAAGGGTGGAGGTTGCACTATGGAGGTTGGTGGGGAAAGATAGCTCTGAAATCTGTCCAGCAGTGAGCAGAGTAAGTCAGGTGGGCTGTGAAGTTCTAATGTTTAGTAAGGCTGGTGATGAGAAAGCAACTTCTTGAAGACTGGACTGTTTCCCTACAGTAGGCATGCAGCTGTCCTTCATGTGCTAGTAACAGACTTACCTAAACATGGCTGGGAACCTCATTAGAAATGACCTCAACTGCCCAGTATCTTAACGTTCCTTTCAGTAGTTAATCCAAATGGGAGTGTATCCAGTGAAGACATACCAGATCTAAGTCATTGTCATTAGAGAGTACTTGATAACTGCATATTTGGTAACTTACTTGTAAGATAATTTGATACCACTGACATGTTATGTTTGTGTGAGAACATGTATCCCAGAGTGCCTCAGACCTTTATTGCTTTAAAAGAATTATAATGTTTTCATTACTTTTATTATTTTAATGATTTAGTAAAGTGACCGAATCTAGTATAGACTTTTGGGGGTATGTGTGTGAAGTTTTTTATCGAACTGTAATATTTGTGAATGGAATGCCTTGCAATATGAATGTTAATATAATGTGTAAAGGGAGATTAAAAAGTTTGAATGATTATCCCGCCATGTAGTCATTAACTTTGCTGCATTTGGGATTTCAGAGGGAGGTGGTGGAAATGGGTGGCTGATTTCATAATCTAAAATATACTCATGACCATTTGAATAAAAATACTTTTTCAACTCTAATGGCTTTATAAAAAGTCCAGTAATGTGTTCAGTTCAGCAGTCAACCAGAAGCATTTGAGATGCAACCGTATTTTTGGACATTTTTAAGACAGAGATTGTGGAATATGTAGGGGAGCATTTTATGTGCGGACAGTAGATTTAATATTGTGTGCTTATTCAGTGCCTATCATTAGAAAATAAGCTCAAGGAAAAAATACTGGTGGGATAGGTTTTTTTATTATTTAAAACAAAATGATGGTGATGCTTTTCTCAATTTGGGAGATTTTAAAATGGTATGGGCTCTAGTCTGATTGTGTATACCTAATTACAAGTGTTTATTAAGTTAGATGAGAAAACATCTAGTTTCATGATTCTGCCAACTTTTCAAAATAAGTCAGTGTATTAACTTTATTTTTGTATTGTTTTAAATAATGTTTTTGCCTTTTATCTTCATTTTTTGTCTTGCTGATACAGTAGATTAAGGTACATTACCACTTACTATGCACATGTCTAAATAGGAAGAGGAGGTCTAGGAATTTGTTTTGCCCTCATAGCTTAATTCCTTAGTTTGTCCTTTAACTGCCTCTGGATTTTAACTGAGTTTGGTTCACATGGAGAGTAGGATGCTTCATTTTACTAAAGTCCTCATAGAATATGTAACAGCTAGTTTTTTTTTGCTTTTTACTAACAACTTCTTTTTGAAAATTTTCAAAGTTACAGAAAAGTTGAAAGATATAGTACAATCAAGTAATCCGATCTTTTCTGTATTCAGCAATTGGTATTTGCTACCTTTCTCTCTATAAGCACTTTTTTTTGAAAGTGTGGCATCATACTTCATTACTGTATTACAATATATCTCTCTTAAAACCTAAGTCCATCTCCTGTGTGATCATAATACAGTTATCACACCCAAGGAAGTTAACACTGATACAGAATTGTCTAATGTATATTACTTCCTCAAAATTGAGTCACTTACCTTAAAATGTTCTTTAAAAATTCTTTTTTTAAACCCAGGATGCAAACCCACGGCATTCCGCTATCATGTATCTTCTTTTTTTAATCTTTTATGAACTTGACACTTGACAAAGCAGGCTTAGTTTGTAGAATTCTGTATTTGTTTGCTTGTTTCTCCAGAGTAGGGTCAGGATAAACATTTTGGCAGAAGACTCCACAGATGGCATGTCCCATTAATCTTACCATGTTACATCAGGAAGCTCATAATGTTGTCACATTAGTGCCAGTGTAAATTTGATCACTTAGTTCCTGTCAGTTTTTCCCATTTTAAGAGTATCTTTTCCTTAAGGTATAATCTGACAGGAGATATTTAGAGACCATTTGGATATCCTGTTCAGTCAGTGGTTTTAGTGGTCACTGATCATCTTTGACAGAATCCATTCTTTAGTTACATTGGTGGCTGCAAATTGAGTTTCTGAATCTAGTATTCCACGTACATTAGCTAACACTTTTATAGAGAAGTACTTTTTTCCTTCCCTCTACCCACTCTTATAAGTAATTGAGCTCATTGATTCTTTTTAAAAATTCTTTGTAATTTAATTGGTCCACATTTGTGGGAGTACCTTGAAGCTTATTCATGGGTCTCAGTAAAGGGGTAGAGAATACTGGTTGAAAAATTCTTTGAAGTAAATTTTGATCCTGTTTCATTCCAAATTTTATAAACTGTAAGCTACTTTTTAACAAAGCATGCAGTGGATTTTGGAGGCAAAACATGCAGTAGGAGTGGGGAGGAGATGTTGGCTGAGAAATAGAAATATTGGAACCTGTTGAGATAGTGTAAAATTCTATCTATATTTACTGGTGTTTGACATCTACCAAGCTCTCTCTAGATAAAAGATGAACAGATTATACCACTTGCAATGTGGATGTGTGGCCCATATTCCAGTAAAGCAGAGAAAAACATCTGGACATTAATTTTTTAGGAGTAAATTGTTTTACAATATGGGCTGCGTTATATATATATGCTAACATTCTAAGTCATTAATGTTCGTTGTAAAAATGAACATCTAAGGAAAGTTTAGCTTAGCAGCACAGGCTTCACGCATGGAAATTCTCTCGCCCCACTGTGTTTGAACTCTTTAGGGGCAAGCAGCTGTTGGTGGCAGCCTCTCTTAACCTCTTGGTGCTAAGCATGAAAAAAGTGGTTTGCATTTGGTTAGAAAAAGAAAGGAATAAGGTGGCTTGGCTACCTATTGGCTACTGCTTTTCATTTTCAGGACTGTGGGTGGGCAAAAACAACTCTGTATATGGCAATTCTTTTGTTATATTAAAAATGTCAACACTGGTATATCTTACTAAAATGTGTCAAAAAGTCAATATATGGAGTGCTCAAGAAGGGCTTCCAGAAAAATTTCCACTTATCACTAATAGGTTTGTTATAGTTCAAAGTATTTTAGTAATTTTTCTTATGGGTGTTAAGCCTTTTTACCATTACTCCAGGTTCTTCATCCCACTCCCAACAAGAAACACATGCCAACACAGAACTTGAACAAGACACATACAAGACCAACATTCAGGATACCAGGTGATTTCTCTAATTTTTTACCTAGTTGGATGGCTAGAATAAACCACTATACTTCTCGCTGGAGACCTCCTATCTGTGGGATAACACAACTTTTATTATTCTGTATATAATGGGCCTATAAAGGAAATTTGCTTTATTTCAGTATTTGAGTCTAATAGAAAGTTCAGGCTAGAATTTTTAAGACTTTATGAGTAAATATGAGCTGTGGGTGATTCTGAGGAAACAAAATAGCCAAATATAAGGACTTTGGTATTAAAGATACAGATTAGAGAAAGAGCAACAGAGACTTCAAAGCACATTTCTGCTATTCTATCTTGCTTAACATAATCTTGATATTTTAGGCAGTCTCAAAGAGTATTTCAGTCTGTGTCTAAACTGGAGGTAATTCTATGGTGGATTGGCACTCCTTTCTTGAAAGAAGCATGTATCATATTTACCTCATCCCAAGGGATTCTGTTGTAATGTCCCTTTGATAAAAATCAACCTGCTTACACAGTGAAGACAAGTAGTGATTCCACAGCATCTTACTACACTGATGGACAGTGACTGTAATGGGGTCGGGGGGGGGGACTTGGTGAAGGGGGGAACGTAGTAAACATAATGTTCTTCATGTAATTGTAGATTACAAAACAAAACAAAACAAAAAAAATCAACCTGCTTAAAAGCCCATTCCATCTACTTTGTTCCCATAAAGAAAAGTTCCACCAGAAGAAATTTGTATAATGGACTCTATTTGTATGTTCCTGTTCACTTCATAGTGGTTTCTTTAAAGACAAAATTCCCTTGGTATATCTGTGCATTTATTGTCTAAATAATTGTCTAAATATACTTAATAAAATGTTTTCCAAATGTCTTTGTAGTAAACTTTTTCTAGGGAATTTTCTGACAAAGAATCTGATCTTGCATATTAATTGAAACAAAATTGGCTTAATCCAAAGTTGGTCTTTTCCCTGGGTCACAAAGTGTCTCTAGGGCCAAAGAGCTGTCAGTTACTTCAGGACTTTGATCATCAGCCTAATTGGAAGATTGGTATCCAAGCAGAAAATATTCTGAAGCATTCTGTATATGTAAAATATGTTCCCCCTTCCTCAAAACAACAGAGAATTTTGAAAACTACAAGCTATTTTGTATTCAAATGGGTAAAAAGGAAGTAGCATTATATGTATATTTCTGGAGCTGTAGTTGTATACGTTAACTGGCTCCACTGTGATAGTATTTTGAATGTAGTGCAGATTTTTCCTTCCCTCCATCCTAAAAAACTTCCATCATTCTACATGTTCTACTTTACATGTTAGTTCTCTGTACATGTAATAAAGAACTTGTTCCAAATTAGACATGTTTGTATATGGACTTTCTCCAGTGAACATCACTAGGTGTGTGAAATAGGAAGCAGAAGAGCCCAATATGCTGAAGATGGAACTGTAGGTGAGATTTGAAAAGTGCAAGGTACACGAAAAGTTGTCAGTGAAAAAGTTCCTTGAAGTTAGTTTCTAATATTGGAACATTTTAGTTCCTTTAATTAAAAAAAGAATTTACTAGCATTCATGAAGTATTCAGTGGAAATTAGCCATTTATGTTAAAGTTCCTTTTGTCCAAGAAAGCAGTTTAAAGATACCTTCAAAAAAACTGCCAACAATATACTTCTAAGGTGTTAAAATCCTAATGTTGGGAAACCAGCAGAGATTTGCTGACATGTACATAGTGGTTTTTACCCTGTGTTGTACCTATACTTTCTTATAAAAGCTACTGCAGCAATATATGTAACATCCTAGATGCCACCCAAGATGATATGTTAAAAGGATCTTTAAACTACTTTGTCTTTATAGTTCATAATTCAAGAATCCTTAAGTAAGGATCTTATAAACTTGATTCTTCATACTAGTTCTTAGAAAGAAAGAAACTAGTGCTTTCAGCTAGGAAATGTTACTTGTTAAACCGAATTAGCTGGCTCAAGAAGACATAAACTGTGACGAGTGAAAAGTAAACTCCTTAAGTGGCCAGCTATAAGAATTGGAGTTACATCATTTTAATGTCTTAAAACTGCTTTTTCATATTGGTGAGCATAAAATGCTTGCCATCCTCAATTATGTATAGCTTATGTATGAGAAGAAAAAGGGGAAAAAGAAACTTCAAAAATAACTACAAGCTCCCCTCTATATTACCTTACATACCCATTTTATTACTGCAGTTGCTCAAGGCAATAATAAACAGTTGAGCCTTGAACATCACAGGTTTGAACTGCATGGGTCCACTTAAACACAGATTTCTATCAATAAATATGTTGGAAATTTCTTAGAGATTTGTGACAATTTGAAAAACTTTCATTTAAAGAATACAGTATATAATACACAAAA